ACATATATATGAATGACAAAGAATAATATTATCGTATAACCAGAAAAATTGCTTTGCTTTCCTACCAAAACGAAATATTAAACGTCGTTAGTTAATTTCAACTTTGATAGAAATGAAAATTTTTTTCTTTTTTAAATTACTTTGATTTTGCGATAACATTCAAACACATTACAAGCTTTGTGTTAGTTAGTTATTTATTTTTTTTTTTTTGTATTCCTTTCTTTCGGTTACACACTGCGAGCGTTTGAAAGGGAAATATGAATGTAACTCCGTGAAGCCAAGGAGATTACGTATATGGATAAAAAAAAATAAACTTTTGTTTATATTATAGAAAAAAGAAGGAAAAAAAAAAGATCTACTATAATATCAGAAAGTTAATCCAAAAACGGGCGAAAATTTAATTGCGATAAAATGTTGGATTTTTGCAAGAAAAAATCAAACTACCGCTTATTGGGAATGGAGGTTTGCGAAACTACCGAGATTTGCGAAATTTTTTACATTTCTTATAGACAGGTACGGTTTTACGCGGGCACCTGCAGTTTAATTCCCCGATGCCCGATGACACACTAGTTAAGGTAGGGATCGTTTCTCCAATGATAAGGATAATCTTTACCGATCGGGAGCTCACAATGAGATTTTAACTTAGGCTAGGCCCCTAGCCAACCCGGTAAAATTAAGTGTCCTCGCCATTTGAAGTTTTCATCGTCCTCAGCAAGAAGCTGCCAGAATGGTCGTCCAGTTTCAGTCGCCTGGGAGGAGCAACGATCCACTCTCGCGAGCCACCTAACAGCCATGACAACCAAATGTTCGATCTAAATCTAGGTTAAGTGTTTTTCCCTACGTTTTTCAATTTGAATTATGCGTACATTCCGCCTGGAATACGCTATTTTTCGTTTGGCCATAGATTTTCATCGCCATTACTGCCATTACTTCTTAGATCTATGAGAATACCGTCGTGCTTATCTTCCCTTCGTATATGGTAATAAATTGCTATAGCATTGTGAATATAAAGAAAGGAAGTCTTCATGCCGATCTTTTTTCCTATGCCCTGCTTAGTTACTCTAAAGAGAGTTTACCCAAGGATAGATTGCTACGAGGACTTAAAATATTTCATTCAATCATTTTACAATAATTTCAATTGGTCTTGAAAGCACATACAGGAATTGCAAAAGTTGCTATGTTCCTAACAAATGTTGCATAATTAAGACGACTGCCTAAATTCCGGTAATTGG